TATACTCAGCTGCCCCCCTTGTACTTCGAAGCCCAAATACTTCACTGTGCTGTTCCCGAAACTGCATTTCTTAGGGTGGCAGGTCAGCCCTGCTGCTTGAATGGCATCCAGCGTATCGCCCACGTCCTTCACGTGCTGCTCTGCGGATGCACTGAACACCACTACGTCGTCGATGTAGCAGGCTGCCGCCGGCACGTGCCTCAGCACTGAATCCATCACCCGCTGGAATAATGCTGGCGCGTTCTTCATGCCAAAGGGCATGAACTTCCACTCATACAGCCCCTCGGGTCCGTGGAAGGCTGTTTTCCTCCGGTCCTCTTCCTTGATCGGTATTTGGTTAAACCCCTGTCGGAGATCCAGCGTGCTAAACACTACTGCTCCTTGCAGCTGATCAAATATCTCTTCCGCCGATTGCATGGGGTACCGGTCCGCCACTGTCACTTTATTAAGTCCTCGGTAGTCCCCACACATTCTCCTGGCTGATACCTCTCCCGTGAGATCCTTCCTTGCTGCTACCACCGTCGCGGCTGCGTAATCACTGTCAGAAACCTGGATGAGCCCCGCTGCTAACAGCTCCGCGCACTTCTCCCGGCAGGTGTCCAAGTCGCCTGGACTCATCCTCCGTTTTCGTACGTATATGGGCATCTCGGTGTTCAGCTTCACCTGCATTTGATGCAATGTACATTGCCCTAGTTCGGATAAGGTGTAGGCAAACGTCTTGCGGTGCTGCTTCGGTACCTCCTGTAATGCCTGCGCTGGCTCTGCCCCCATTCCGGAGCCTATGGGCCAGGCATCCTCGGGTCCCCTCTCCTGGCTTGTCTTTTCTGTCTCAGTCTCCCCGTCTGGTGGCCGTACTCCTTGGTCTGTAGCCGTACTCCCGGCTTCCACGGCCATGCAGGCCCATCCTTCCAGGATACGCGCTTCCTGTTGCTCTTCTATGGCTCTCAGCTGGCGTTTCCGTTCCTCTGTCTCCTCTTCCTCTCGATACAGCTCACTGACTTCAATACCCCGTTGGAGCTCTTTCCTCTTTAGGTGCATGCGAATGGTTTCCACCAGCCACGCCATGACGTTCAGGTCCATGGCTCTGCCCAGTGCCGCCCTCCGTTGTGGCTCAGTCGCCCGAGGGTGGGCAGTAGCTCCCAGCAGATGCCCCATGGCTAACTCCCGCTCTTCGGCCGTTGGTTGCTCCCACTGTTTCCCGATGACATCGTAGATCATTCCGGGCCCGGGCAAGTCTCCCTCCATCACGAAGCCGTAGGCGTCTACGTAGGACACGAGTGTCGGCAGCGCCTGTCTCGGCTTCCCCGGCACATTACACTGGTACTGGGACGGGTGGTCTGGCACCGTGACGGGCGCTGGCAGTCGGTTGGGGCCCAGGATGTCACTAACCAGTCTCGGTTCCGGCCGCTGCATCTGAGCCAGGGAGTGGCGCAACAGGGCTTCTGAGATCCCATTCTGCCAGTATCTCCTGGGCCGGTGCGCCCTGGACCCCAGCTGCGCCGCGTCTACCGCTTGCCCCCTACCGACAGCGGCTTCTACTTCGGCGAATGCCCGGTGTACGGGCTCTCTGCGATCGTCCGCGAAGTCCACGTTCTCCAGGATGTAGAGCACTTCCCCTTGCTTCTCCTGAACCATCTCCAACACCCGCTTTAGGTCCCTGAAAGAGGCCCCCCGTATGTCAGCCATTCCCATTCCTGGTCCGGCCCGAGAATAGCCCTGGCATTCCCATCCTGCCACAATAATGTCAATCTGCCCCCACTGTTCCAGAGTTTCCTCCGTGATATCCCGGACATCGTCCACCCCTTCCTCATACTCTGCGGGTAGGGCAGACTCGGCTAGCTGCTCGGGATATTCGGCCAGCAGCTGCCGGACGTGATGCTGCGCCATTCGGCGCACCACCGGATCTCTTTCCACGTGAATCCACTTCCTCACTCTACATCCAGCACGCAACACCGCCGCCAGTCCTGTGCCGATGCCACCGTACAGCTCCATGATGCACACTGCTCCTTCTAATGTCCAGAGTCTGGTTACTCTTTCTTTCAGCGAGGTCGGTTCTCGCCCCTGCCTCCTCCTCTCTATTCGCCGTTCGTACTCCTCCGCGTATCTCTCCCAGCTCCAGTCGTCCAGCACCGGTCCCAGGTCAGCAACCTGTGCTCCGTATGCCTCCCGAGGCTCCTGCTTCACGAATTTCACGGGCAAAGTACCCACGGAACTGGCAGCGTCCCAGTAGTGCACGCGGTACAGCACTTTCTCTTGCCAGGTACAGATGGTAGCGCCCACTCGGTAGAGCAAGTCCATGCCCACTAACGCGTCATAATCCTCCGACTCCGACACGCCACAGGTCACGCGGATACAGCATTCCTTGTCAGTGCCGGGACGTAGTACTATCTCGATGGGCCTTACTGTCCGTGGCATCCATTTCGGTTCTCCTCCCTCGGCGGTCATGAGCAGGATGCCCCTCGCCACGAGCCTCCCGGGCAAGTCGAGCTTCAGTTGTCTAGCTAGGCCTTTCCCGATCAGCACGTGATGAGCCCCGGTGTCGATGATCGCTTGCCCCACTGGCAACCCACCTACCGTCAGGCTCCCCTTTTCGGCTATCAGGACCGATGCTTGGCACACCAATCTCTCGTTAGGGTGGCGCCTCAGTTCGGAGGTACTGCTTCCCTCATGCACGTTGCCCCGTGGCTCACGTACTCGGCTCGTACGGCTTTCAGACGACTGAGTTCCCCGAATCCGAAGGTCAAGGTCCTCCCTCTCCCTTGGGAACGCCATAAAGCCGCTTGCTCGCAGATACTCGCCCTCACTTTCTTCCTCCCCTTCGATCTCCTCGTACGCCAGCATCGCTCTGGCTTTCTGCTCCACCTTCGGCTTTGCTTCCAGTCTCAGCTGTAACCGTTTGATCTCTGCCTGCAGCTCCTCTTTACTCGGGGTCTCTTCAGAGCGTCGCCGACTGTAGCAAGCTTCTTCCTTATGCCCCTTCCGCCCACAATTCCCACACACCGGCAGCTTCGGGCACTCTCGCTTCAAGTGGCCGGCTTCCCCACATTCGTGGCACCGTCGGGCGTCAGCCCGTGGTAGTCTCGTTAGAGGTGTCTCCGTCAGTGCCGCTGCTGCCCATGAGGACTTCGTTTTAGGACATACCTCCCCATCCTCCAAATCTAGCATTCTCTGTGCGTGCTCCGTCCTTTTAGCCAAGCCATAGACGTCCTTCAGGGTGACGTCTGCCCCTATGCCGTACACTGTGTTCCGCACCACATTCCGCAAATCATCATCTAGGCCTCGGACGAACTTGCGCACCAGCAACCGTTCATCTCGGCTTTCCAGATCCTCTGCCAGCTCCCTCAGTCGACAGTAGTAGGCGAGCAGGGACTCATCCTTTCCTCGGCGAAACTCACGAAACTCTTCAACCCGCGCTTTGGTTTGCCCTAGAAATTCCTTTTTCAGCAGCTCGACAAACCGCTCGGTCGGGTTTCCGATCTCTCCACACGCTAGCTCCTCCAGCACTTCCTCCCGCGTCATGCGATAGAAGGTCTCGGCCTCTCCTGCTAGCGTTACTACCATACGCCGGAAGAATTCAGCCGGGTCCAGCCCGTCCCGTTCCCACCAGTACTGCACGGTCTCCAACTGCATCAGATAGTTCTTCAGGGTGGGCCCAACGCCGGGAATGCCCGTAAACCTCTCGGCTACCTCCAGCTTCGGTAGGGATCCTGCCTGCCACCGCTTGTCTGTAGACCGATCTGGTGGAGCGGCGGTTGACGGAGGCTCCGCCATTCGACTCGCAATAATCTCTCGCTGCGTCAGCGGCTGGAACTCTCCCTCGGTCTGGCGTCGCAGCCAGGTCGCCGGTACCGGCATTTGGTCGGCTTCCATCCCCGGCATCAACCCCGGGGAGTTACTAACGGGGCGGCTCTCCCACCGTGCTCTCGCTTCCCGCGCCCAGCGCCTATCTTGGGGTGTCTCTCCTGGATCTGACGCGACGGCCCGAGCTGGTTCCATCGCCGCGCGTCGCCTTTGTTCACGTTGGTGCGGGGTCCGGTACGCACCGGTGATCGGCGCTGACGAACTCTTTGACTCCGCCGATGACTCTCGTTCCAACGCCGCTGTCGCGGCGGCGCACCAGCTAGGTTCCGCTGAAATATCTTCTCTTCGATAGCTCAACCCTGAGCGTAATCTAAACCTATTGTTCATCCTAGCTTGGAAACAGCGATCTGTCGCATTTCCTTGCTTGTATGTTGGATGCACTTGGCTCGATGGCAACCCTCAGAGTCTCCCTAGCTCGGCTGACTGCCGGTGACTCTGAGTGGGCACTGGTACAAGGCTTGCTGGGATTGGCTCCTCCCTAGTAGGCTAACGCGAGTAGTAAGAAACTCTAAGCTGATAGAGGAAACATACAAGCAAGCAAATGAACCAGACCTGTGTTGCTTGCCTAAGTATGTGCACTGGGTTACCGTTGCCTGCAACGGTTGGTTTTGTTTCGTCAATTCTCTGATTTGGCGCTATTCGCCCCTGCCTACTTCGCTTCAAAGCTACTCACTACAATATCCTGTCATGCATTTATATTGCTAGGTCCTGCTTTCTATTCTTCCGATTAAATGTATGACACCCTGGCCACGGACGTGGGCGGGGCCCCACTCGTCCATGTGAAGAGTCTGCAAGGGAGCCTCTGTCGGAAGAAACTCGGAGGAGTGAGGGGCGTCGCGCTGCCGCCCCTCGACGCACGGAACGCAGGTAGGGGCAGGCCTCGGAGGTAGGGGAGGGAGGGACCAGGGGAGACCAGAGACAAGGACACGTGAGGCCATGCTTCGTTGACGAGGAAGGGAGGGGTGACCAAGGCGGTGGTGCCAAAGGAGAGTTTGGTGGGACAGGAGACGACACGTGCAGGGCGCATACTCAGGACCAGACCTGGACGCTGCAGCAAACACCTGATTCGACGCAGCTACCTGACCAGACTCAGCAACAAGAGGAGACTCAACGGTCAGTGTGTACAGGCTCGACCCCGGCTAACGGGTAAACGTGGCCAAGTGTCGGCCCCTCCGAGCACACGTACAGTGGGTCACCCGCTGACTCGCAGGCGTGAACTGGTCAACCCCCCGATCCTGTAGATCAGCTCCACTCACCAAGTTCGTAGAGAACGAGGGGAGGTAGAGACCTGACAGGGTGCCAGAGGGGGCTGCCGGACACGGTAAGACAGTGGAGAAGCTAGCAAGGACAGGACCCCCAGAGGGGTCCGCCAGGGAGACCGCAACCGGCCGACTAAGCGGCGTAAGCGTGGTGCGATCTTGAAAGAAGGAGCGGGAAGCACCCGAGTCAAGGGTGAAGGTGTGAAAGGCCTGAGCCGACGTGGTACCTGAGAGAGCAGACTCACCAGCACCTGGGGCAGCAGACGCACTAGCACCTGGAGCAGCAGCCTCACCAGCACCTAGAGCAGCAGCCTCAATGCCCGGGTGTGGCGGAACGCACAGGTAACAGTCATCCTCATCAATAGTAGACACAGCATACATGGCAGCAAGAATAGCATCAAAGTCAAGATCAAAGATAGCAACCCCCACCCTAGACAGCTCTCCCCAGCAAGGGATCTCAGTGGCGTCAGGGAACTGATGACGCCAAGCGTCCGTCAGGCGGCCGAAGCAGTGCTGGGTGGAGTGCGTGCCCCCGCACTACTCACCAGCGCGGTCGCCTGTACGGAGGACGTAGGTGCAGGGACCAGTACCCCCACCCCGCTGACGCCCAGCGTACCACTCACGAAGCTGCTGAGGGGAGAGGGTCTCACGACTGCGCTGCTGCTGCTAGCGCGGACCACCACCGGAGCCACTCCTCTGCGCAGAGCCGCGACCAGCTCCACCGCTGCCTCCGCCGCCTCCACCACCTCCGCCGCCTCCGCCACCTCTGCCGCCTCCGCTCCCTCGCCGCCACCGCCGCCTCCTCCGCCTCCACTGCTGCCACCGACACCTCCACCCCCGCCACCACTCCCACCACCACCCCCACCCCCTCCACTGCCTCCACCACCACCTCCAACGCCCCCGCCAGTCACTCCAACGCCCTTGCCCCCCTTGCCCTTGCCGGTGCGGCGTCTCCCGCTAGGGGTAGACGCAGCGCCGACCGACTCGAAGCCAACGAGGTCGGGCGCAGCAGCAGAAGCAACAGAGGGCAAGAGGGGGGAGGGAGAACACCCCTCAAAGACGGGGGTGCGAGGGTCACCACGAGAGGCTCCTATAGCGACTATGCTCTTCTCTGCTGCTAGGAGGCGCTCCTCGAGGAGGTCAACGGTGAGTGTGGTGGGGCAAACTGAGAGGAAGTGGTCCCTGACTAAGCGAAGGGAGTCAGGGAGCCGTGTGACTATGTAGTAGAGGTTGACGTACATGGGGGGGGTTCTTGGCGCAGAACTCAGCAGGAAGCGCAGCGCGGTAGCGAGTGTCACTAGTGCGAAGGTGCGTAATGAGGTCAGTGACCGTGGGAAAGGCAGCAAGGTCAGGGAACAGGTATGGTAGCATGAGGCGGCTAAGCGCAGCAGTGGCAGGGGAAGAGTATCGTGCAACTACAGCGTCGTACAAGGTCTTAGCACTCTTGTACTGGCTAAAGTGCGCACGCTCAGTGGTCGGTAAGTGGCGACGAACAGCAAGACGTGCCGCATCATCGCGCGTGGCCCACTGTGAGCGAACAGTGCTGTCAGCAGTCGCAGGCGGGTCAGGAGAGACACCAAAGGTGAGATCAAACAGGGAGAGTTCGTCTGCCCTATCGCACTGTAAGAACAGCTGGAGATCATCGACCCAGACATCAAAGTCAACAGCACGACCCTCAGTATCAAATGTAAGGACACTGGGGGTAGCCATGACTGAAGTGGCCTAGCAGGGAGTGAGCTCACCAGTCCAAGGGAGTAGGGCCGGGGCGCGCTGGTAGGAACAGTAGTGGCTCGACGGCAGGGCAGCTCGGCGGCTCGGCTGCTGGGCGGCACGGCGGCTCGGCTGTTGGGCTGCTCGGCTGTTGGGCGGCTCGGCGGCTCGGTCGCTGGGCGGCGCGGCGGCTCGGCTGCTGGGCGGCTTGGCGGCTTGGCTGTCGGGTGCCCCGGCTGCTGGGTGGCTGGCGGCGTGGTGGCTCGGCTGCTCAGCTGCTAGGCGGCTCAGCGGTGAAGGGGCCGGTAGAGGCGGCGACGGGGCCGCGAAGAGCGGCGACGGGGCCGCTAGGGGCGGCGACGGGGCCACTAGGGTCAGCGACGGGGCCGTTAGGGTCGGCGATGGGGCCGCTAAGGGCGGCGAGGTGCCGTGAAGGGCGGCGACGGGGCCTCCAGGGGCGGCGACGGGCCGCTAGGGTCGGCGACAGGGTCGTAGAGGGGTCGTAAGGGGCCTAGAGGGGGCGGCGACGGGGCCGCATGGGGCGGCGACGGGGCCGCGAAGGGGCCGCGAGGGGCCTGGAGGGGCGGCGACGGGGCCTAGAGAGGCGGCGACGGGGCCGCGAAGGGGACGCCAGGGGCCTAGAGGGGCAGCGACGGGGCCGCGAAGGGGCTGCGAGGGGCCTAGAGGGGCGGTGACGAGGCCGCTAGAGGCGGCAACGGGGCCGCAAAGGGGCCTCGACGGGCCTAGAGGGGCGGCGACGGGGCCTAGAGCGGCGACGACGTGGCCGTAAGAGGGGCCGTAAGGGGCCGTGAGGGGCCGCGAAAGGGTCCGCGAGGGGCCTGAGGAGGGCGCGACGGGCCGCTAAGGGCTAGGGGCGCGACGGGAGGGAGGACACACGGGGCGCGACTCGGGCAGGACGGAAGCGCGCTACGGGCAGAATAAAAAAAATTCAGTGGTGGGCCCTAGGAAACGTTCCCACTAGGGAACCTGCTCTATACCATGTGAAAGAACAAGGAATGATTGCATTGAGCAGCATGAGGAGTACAAGTGGGAAACCCTAAAGTGTTTGTACCCCATATGAACTACCCCACTATAGCCTACACAGACTATAGCATATAAGTTTGACATTCAGTTTCGCCACTCCCTCGAGCTCGGAATGCCGCACGTGCAGATTTCATGTGAAAACTGTCGACAATCCAATGTCCGTTTCCGCCGCAAAAATCGCAATACGTTTTTATTTTTGCAGGTCGTTAATTCGCGTCGAATTTGTCAACTTCAATGGGGTCGGCGAACGTGGTTAAAGCCGAGCAATCTCCTTGTCGTGATCCGACGACATGGGGTCGTCGTGTTCCGGTATTGACCAAGTCAAAATGCTCCGTGACCGATACGATCTCGCTGTAGCTGCTGTAATTCGCTGCTGCAACCTGGCGGCGAATGTCGGTTTTCAACACCTCGATGTAGGACTGGTTTTTTTTCACCCTCTGTAATGTCGGGAATGCGATTTTAAAATTCTTCCATCTGCTGCGTGTATTACGCGACACTCTCGTATTGCCGGCGGTGATGTAATTTTTTGCGCGCAATATAAGTGGAATTAATCGGCTCAAAACGTTTGAGCAGGTCTGCCCGGAACTGCTGCCACGTGGCTTCGCCCTGGAAAATCCTACTGCTGCTTCCGAGCCACTCGAGAGCTGGACCGCGCATCAACGTTGTCGCGAGACGAATTTTTTCGCCGTCGTACTCCGTCGTCGACCATTCGATTGCCACGAAATAAGTTTCGATCGTTGCGAGCCATCGCCTGACGTCGGATTTCCTGTCACTGGGGTCGAACGATTCCGTCGAGCGAAGTTTCGAAACCTCGAACTGACGATGCCTCTGCTGCGAAGTCGCCGAAGCAGGAATGTTCATGGTCGAGAGGAGCTGCGTAAAGCGCTGTAGTTCATTTCGCAGCTGCTCGTTCTCCAATCGCGACTGTTTGGTAGTCGCTCGCATCTCCGCTTCCATCTTGGCGATTTGCGCGAAGAGCTGCTGCGTAACGTCGTTGGTCGCCGGCAAACCCATCTTGTTCAGAAAACACGCGAGGGGGTTAATTCGAAAAGCGCAGAACTGGTGCTTACCAGAAATCGGCGTCAAATTGGTCGCCTCCGGCGGTTTTTCGAGACGATTTTTTCCGCGACCGCTGCTTAGTCGAGAGTTGTCGAGTGAGAACGGCTCTGATTACCAAGTGTCACAGGATCAAATTCTCTATCGAAACTTGTCACTAAAACTGAATACAAGGCGTTTTCATACTCGGAAAATACAAGGATAAACGAGATAAAACGAACCTTCGGGAACATGCCCTTCCCGATACTACAATCACAAGTGCGCACAAACATGCAAGGCTATTCGCACTTGGGATTCCGCCCAGATTACACTGTATACACCACTATCGGCGCTGTCGGTGCCGTAAAATAGATATGTCGGTGGGAAAAGTAGGAAATAAGTGAAATAAAGAGAAGGCTCCAGAAAATGGAATGGTAGGCCGATTGAGATGATATAAAGACCAAAATAAAGAGGAGAAAACGGAGAATAAGATATTAATAATGATAAATATTATAACGAAGACGTTCTCTCAGATAGGGTGAGACCAATGGTGGCCAGGGGCAGCAACAGCAGCAGCATCAGCCGCAGCAGCGTTAGCGCCAGACCCCCACTTCCCAGCAGCTTCATGACTGGTATGCCGGGCGTGGGGCGTCTGGGGGTCGTGGTCGCTGCCCCTATATCATTCTCTCAGGTCCCCGCGCTGGTCACCAGTGCACCGGCTTTTATACTGAGTACCGCTGCTTCGCTCGGTTTAGCGACGCCTGGCACGTCAAGTTTCCTGATGCTATTGAGTTCCCCAACTGGGCAGACCTGCTTAGGCATGATGTACATATCTTTGATCTTGACTATGATGCTATTCTTGCTGCCATGTATGCATTGACTGTTAGTGCTGAGGGTGACTGCTACTTGTGTGTGCCGCCTGACCCTGGTACAGCCCCAGGTATAGCGCCTGCAGCTCTAGGTGCTCGTGAGTCTGCTCTCCCTGGTACTGCGTCCGCAGAGGCCTTGCACACCTTCACACTTGACTCTGGTGCTTCCCGCTGTTTCTTTCGCGACAGCACCACAGTCACTCCCCTCCCTGCACCTGTCCCTTTCTCACTGGCTGACCCTTCTTGGGGCCTAGTGCTTGCACGGTCTTCCACTGTGCTTCCGTGTCTGGCGGTCCCGTCTTGTGAGCTGTCTGGTCTCCACCTCCCCTCGTTCTCTACGAACTTGGTGAGCAACGACGTCCTTCAGGATCATTGGGTCGACACCTTTATTCCTGGAGGGCAGCGTGTGGCAATCTGCACATGCTCTCGAACCGGCCGCCACCTGGCCACGTTCACCCGTGAGCCTGGGTCAAGTCTGTACACCCTCACCACTGTGTCGCGCTCTACCCCTTTTTCTCCTCAGCTGTACGCGTCTGCTCAGGTAGTTATCCAGTGTGAGTGTCGTCGCCTGTCGCACCAGACTCTCCTTTGGCACCACCGCCTTGGTCACCCCTCCCTACCTCGCCTTCATGGCATGCACTCTCGCTCCCTGGTCTCTGGTCTTCCCAGGTCTCTGCTTGCCCTCCCTCCCTTGCCTGCGCCCCCCTGCATTCCTTGCATCGAGGGTCGGCAGCGCGCCGCTCCTCACTCCTCCTCATTTCCTCACACAGACCGCGCATCAGCTCAGCCTCTGGCCCCGTGTCTCCGTGCCAGAGACTTCGCCCACACTACGATGGACGGGGGAGGTTGGCGATGCGTCGTGTTTCCGAGTCTGGGTTGCCTGTATCTTTGTCCGCGATACCACCGCGGAAAAGCTCTCCCCTCTCGCCATTCCTTGCGTCTTCCTTGGCTTTGTCCCTGACGCGTCTGGCTGGCAGTTTTACGACCCCGCCTCGCGCCGTGTCTTTCCGTCTCAGGACGTCACCTTTGACGAGTCAGTCCCCTTTTACCGTCTCTTTCCCTACCGCACTGCCCCTCGCCCCCCCCCCGCCGCTCTTTCTTGCTCCAGGTCCTCCCCAGGTAGACCACCTCCCCGCGCCAGGTCCTGCTCCTTCAGGTGTTTCTCAGGTAGACCCTCCCGTGCCTGCGCCTGTGAAGGTCACTGGTGACTCAGGTCCTGCTGGGGGTGGTCCTGCTCGGGGTGCTGTCTCTGGGGGTGCTGAGCCTGGGGGTGCGGAGCCTGAGTGTGAGGAGCCTGGGGATGCTGAGCCTGGGGGTGTGGAGCCTGAGTGTGAGGAGCCTGGGGGTGCTGACCCTGGGGGTTCGGAGCCTGCGGGTGCTGAGCCTGAGCGTGAGGAGCCTGGAGGTGCTGCGCCTGAGTGTGAGGAGGCTGGAGGTACTACGCCTGGGGGTGCTGCGTATGGGGGTGCTGCGCTTGAGCATGAGGAGCCTGGGGGTGCTGAGTCTGGGGGTGCGGCGTCTGAGGGTACTGAGACTGCTGGTGCGCGGTCTCCTTGGAGAGGCCGCCTTCGTCCGCGTGCGCC